AAGAAAGAAAGAAAGAAAGAAAGAAAGAAAGAAAGAAAGAAAGAAAGAAAAGCAGGAAAACACCCATAAAGACAGAGAACAAACTGTTAGTTTCCAGAGAGGGAGATGTTTGGGGGATGGGCAAAATGGATGAAAAGCAGTAGGAAGTACAGGGTCCCAGTTATGGAATGAGTAAGTCACAGAGATGAAAGATACAGCATAGGGAATATAGTCAATAGCATTGTAATACCATTGTATAAAAAAACACAATGAGATCACCTCACACCTGTTACAATGACTATAATCAAAAAGACAACAAATAACACGTTTGCTAGGATGTGAAGAAAGGCAACCTTTGTACACTGTTGGTGGAAATATAGAGTAGCCACTATGAAAAACTATATGATGATTCCTGAAAAAAATTAAAAATAGGACTACCATATCATAGCATTTCCACTTCTGGTATTCATTTGAAGAAAAAGAAAACACTAACTCAAAGAGACATGTACACCCCCATGTTCATTGCAGCATTATTTACAATAGCTACAATATGTAAACAAAGTGTCCACTGACAGATAAATGCTTAAAAAAAACTGTGGTATACATAGACAATGGGATATTATTCAGCCATAAAAAATAACATCTTGCCATTTGCAACAACATGGATGGACCTTGAGCTCCTTAGGCTCAGTGAAACAAGTCAGAGAAAGACAAATACCGTATGATCTCACTTTCATGTGAAATTTTTAAAGACAACCAAGGTCATAGAAACAGAGAACAGATTGGTGGTTTCCAGAAGTAGGGAATGGGTAAAATGGGTGAAGAGGGTCAAAAGGTCCAAATTTCTAGTTGTGAGATAAATAAATCATTGGTATATAAAGCACAACATGGTGACTATAGTTAATAATACTGTATTGCACATTTGACAGTTGTTAAGGCAGTAAATCTTTAAAGTTTTCCTCACAAGAAAAAACAATTTTGTAACCAAGTATGGGAATGGATGTCAATTAGATTTACTGTATTGATCATTTTGCAATATATACAAATATTGAATTGCTATGTTGCACACCTGAAAGTAATATAATGTGTATCCGTTATGCCTCATTAAAATAAGCAGATAAATTAAAAATGTATTTTAAAATAAATTTAAATTATCCAGCAAAACCAGGTTCAAGGTCAAGGTTACAGAATTAGGTTATTAACTTTCACTTCTGGAGCCTGATCTTGTTTTACGTACAACATGCCTTTCTTGATCTCTGCCCAGATACTGTCTTACAAAAAGAAAGAATTTGGCTCTGTATACCTTTTACTTTCTTCAAGAATTAATTTTAACTTGTAGTCATTGAATGACTTTCATGAAAAGTATTAAATTACTGGATGGCAAACATGAAAAGAGTTGATATGCAGACAAGAAAACTAATCTTTCTACCAAACAGCATAGTAATTATGCTCTAGTAAGAAGGAAGCTAATTCACACAGCTGGAGGGGATCATCAGCAAGTACACACTTAACTCTGACGTAACAGCAGTTATCAAAGCACAGGCATACTCTCATTCTCGTTTCACTTCATTCAAGAAAGAGAAAAGGCCTTAAAGTAACCAGACATTTTTAGCAGAGGGGCATTTATAAACCTGGAGAGGCAGAGTTGAGGCAAGTAGCTCCCAAAGGGGATAGAGATGAAATCATTGAAGGATCCTTCTACACCACTGCAAATGGGGTTTCACTGTGGAAGTACATGCACTCTATGTAAAATTAAAATACAAAATTAAAAATACAAATATGTTGTGAAAATCTTTAAATTCTTAGCCTCTTGGGGAACGGAAAGGATTTTCCTGTTTCCTTCCTTGATTTCACATCTATCTCCAGAATGTATCATGTGCTTTTATCTCCATGCTTCTCTAGAAGACTAACAAAAAAGAAAAAAAGAAAAAAAAAAAAAAACCCAAAGAGCTTAGCTCATGTAGCTCAGTAAAACAGGTGCATCAAGATATTTTGACAAAACAAGGCACCATGTAATTTAAAGAAGTTGTTTTTATCAGCCAGCTATGTTAATTCTACCCTATTCAAATTACACAGGAAAAAAATGTATTTTCCATAAATGAAACAGTGGAGAAAATGAGACTTTTAAGGATGTAGGAATATCTGTAAATAGTGACAAGTAAAAAACTGGAGTTAGGGGGCGCCTGGGTGGCGCAGTCTGTTGAGCATCCGACTTCAGCCAGGTCACGATCTCGCAGTCCGGGAGTTCGAGCCCCGCGTCGGGCTCTGGGCTGATGGCTCAGAGCCTGGAGCCTGTTTCCGATTCTGTGTCTCCCTCTCTCTCTGCCCCTCCCCCGTTCATGCTCTGTCTCTCTCTGTCCCAAAAATAAGTAAACGTTGAAAAAAAAAATTAAAAAAAAAAAAGAAAAAAAAATTGAAGTTAAAAAACTTTCATTATTGCTTTTAGTCTGTTTATAATCTTAATGGAAAGAAAATAAGGCAGGCACAAGATAAAATTGCAGAAATCTGACTTAATCTCCTAGGC